AGGGAGGGAAAGAGGGGAGGGGAAGAAGGGAGGGAAGGAGGATAGCAGGAAAGGAAGGACGGGAGGGGAAAGGAGGGAGAGGTTTCTCCCTGCTGTAAGATTGTAGAGATCGTAGGGATTTGGAAAACACATAGGGTTCCTTTGTGGGTAGATCGGAGGACAGAGAGCTGGGGTGCAGCGATACCCGCAGAAGGGGAAAGAAGGGAGAAGAGGTAGGGACTGCAGTGGGACATCATCGATTAGGACTTAGAAGTGGGAACCGGTGGTGGTTGATCCTGCTGATGCGACGCTTTGTGCTTTTTTTTCACCCACTGGATGGAAAAAGCATTTTGATCATCATGAAAGGGTAGGCAGTAGTGTTTCTTTTTCCTTCTTAATGTTTTTTCACCTTTTTGAATAGGTAGGTAGCCTAAGGTAGGTAGGTAGGTAGGTAGTACCTAGAGGTTGCAGTCGGAGCATGGCGGTGATGAAGATTTTGTCTCCAGTGCTTATTCACGATCGGTAAGTATATAATAGTCTATATAAGTGCGGACGTGTAAATTGAAACTGAGGAGCGAGAGTTAAGGCGGACATGTACTTGTAATTCTAGTAGAGTCTGAGTTGCAGTTAATAGGCGCGGCGCCGATCAGTGATCAGTAGTAGGGAGTTCTTTCCACTGCTGTAGACAGGTGTAACAACAAAGAGCTGTGAACATTCCAGTACATCCAAATAGAATCTCTCTCTCTATCTCTCTATCCGTCTATCTGTTTATCTGCCTATCTATCTATCTATCTATCTATCTGTCTATCTATAGATTATGGAACGATTCTCCACGGAGACTTGTTGATGTAGTTCATTTCTGTTATGGGTGTACCTAATTGTGGGGGTCTATATTAGGCTCTATACTGGCTGATCTGTTATGTTTATGCCCTTGGGTCCCCTTGGGGTTCGCAAGATAAGTACCAGGTGCTTTCAGTAAATCCCCATCAGATTCAGTTTTACGGTTACATACTTACAGTAGCTATCGTAGCCTACCTTTCTCTCTATCCCTCCCTACCTAGTAGTAGATAATTGCAGCTGTACTCATTGTCCAGTAGCTTAATTAGACTTGGCCATCACTTGGATGGCATGCGTCCGTTCGTTGGGTTTGCGTCCTTTCTGTGCTCCTGGTTTTGTAGAAGCGGGTCAGGTAGAGCAGGAGCAGGCGCAGAGCAGAAGCAGCAAGAGCAACAGCTGCAGCAGTAGCAGTAGCAGTAGCAGTATTACCACCACCACCACCATCACCGCCACCAACACGACCAACGACACCACCACCACCAGCAACAACAACAACAACAACAACGACCTTTCTTCCTTCTTCATGTATTTCTGAAAGCGTTCCCATTTTTCACCTTTTCAAAGCTCAATTGAAATCTCTTCTGTGTCTTTTCTTAGAGCCTCCTCGTTGCCATGCCCTGTCTGGAGACTCTGGTCCGAAATAAAATCAAAATGGACTCCGAAGAAGGTGGTCGCTTGCAGCCCGTTAGCGTTCCGAATTGAATATCTGGCAAGAGGCAGACCGAGAGGAGATAGATCGATGGGTAGAGCGGTGTATGGACGTCGTACAAGAGCAGCAGGAGGAGGAAGAGGAGGAAGAGGAGGAAGAGGAGGAAGAGGAGGAAGAGGAGGAAGAGGAGGAAGAGGAGAGGGAAGTTGAGGAGAAAAAAGAGGAGGATGAGAAGAAGGAAGAGGAAGAGGAAGAGGAGGAGTGCCGAAGCCGGCGAGGAAGCCGGTGAGGAAGAGGAGGATGAGGAGGAGGAGGAGGAGGAGGAGGAGGAGGAGGAGGAGGAGGAGGAGGAGGAGATGTGTGTGTCACAGTGTGTGTGTTTAGGGACGTGTAGCTGGAGGAATCGAAAGAATCATATGAGCGTTGGTGGACGGTCGTGTACTGATCGACTGGCAGTGCCGACTCAGATATGAAATATGTACAATGAAGTTTTTTTTCAACGTTTGCAGCTGCTGCCATCCATCCTCCTGATCTATGCATTGCCCACAGTGCGTTGTTGTTTTGCCACCCTTCTTCTTTTTTTTTCGACCCTCCAGGCCCTCGCATCATCATTAGATATAAAGATCGACGGTGACTATTATTCACCACATCATGCACTAGACTGATGGTGCGACGAGTTGGCATACAGGTGTGTATGCACTAGACAGTGTAGACAACCAATTCGGTGCTGCCATGTACGGTGTACCACTGTACCCCACTTTGAGGACGAAGAGCTGCAGTTTTGTCTTAGACTCTGAAAAAGCAGCTCGCTGCCCCCACAGCCCCTCCTCTCCCCCATCTTTCCCTCCCTATCCTAAATAGTGGTCCATGTTCATGTGCGATTTCCTTCCCCTCCTTCAATGCGAGCCATCGGATCAAACTGGTAGATCCAAACTGCACGACCCATCACCAACAGCTGATGATGGAGTTTCGCAATTTCAACCCCCCCCCCCCCCCCCCCCCCCCCCC